ATCCCTTAATTCAAGGCACTTTTTATTTATTTTTTGTGTGCTTTCTTCCTTGACCTCTGAGATATTTATAAGTGTGCCATTTAATTTTGAAATAGTTGACATGTGGGGTTCTATATATCTTAAGGTAATTGATTTCTAATATAATAAGTCATACTGGAAACAGTCTGCATGATTTCAAATTTTTAAAAATAAGTAATGGAAATGCTTTTATATTGATTGCATTGGTTACATACATGTCAAAACTGATCAAATTGCATACATCAAATATGTGCATTTTATCTCAATAAAGCTATAGAAAAAACTTGCTACTTCTTGCTTCAGCTTCTCAAGTAACTAGGATTACAGGTGTGTGCAACCACACCCAGTTAGTCACCCATTTTTAAGTTTGGTTGTTTATCTTTTCTTGTTGAGTTTTAAAAATTCTTTATGTATTATGGATACTAGGCCTTTATCAGATATATGATTTGCAATATTTTGTCCCATCTCATGGATTGTCTTTTCACTTTCTGGAGAGTGCCCTTTGATTCATTATAGTTTTTAATTTTGATGAAATCCAATTTACATATTTTTGTTTAGTTATTTGTGCTTTTAATATCATATCTAAAAAACCATTGCCAAATCTGTTATCAAAATTTAGCCCTATGTTTTCTTCTAAGAGTTTTATAATCTTAACTCATATTTAGGTCTTTGATCCATTTTGAGTTAATTTTTGTTTATAATGTGAAGAGTCCAAATTCATTCTTTACTATGTGTATATCCAGTTGTCCCAGCACCGTCTGTCGAAGAGACTATTTTTCCTGTTGAATAGTCTTGGCACTCTGGTTGAAATTAATTGACCATGGATCCATGGTTTACTTCTAGACTCAATTCTATTCTATTGTTCTGTATGTCTGTCCTTATCTTAGTGTCATGCTGTTTTGATTATTATAGCTTTAAAGTAAGTTTTGAAATTGGGAAGTGTGAGTCTTCTGACTTTGTTCTTTTTAAATTTTGTTTTGGCCATTTAGGACCCTCTACAATTCCATATGAATTTGAGTGCTGGAATTTTGATGAGCATTGCCTTGAATCTTTAAACTGCTTCAAGGAACAATGCCACCTTAACAATATGTATGTCTTTCCATTTATTTAAGTTATTAGGTTATCATTTCCACTTATTTAGGTTAATATCTTTCAGCAATGTTTCATAGTTTTCAATGTATAAGTCTTCCACCTTCCTTGGTTAAATTTATTCCTTAGTATTTTATTATTTTGTATGCTACTGTAAATGAAATCTTTAACTGGTCATTGCTAATGTACAGAAAGACAACTATCTTTTGTGTGCTGATCTTGACCCCTACAACTTTGCCAAATTCACTTTTTAGCTCCAATAATTTTGAGAAATGTTTTTAACATTTCCTGTGTATAAGATCATGTCATCTGTGCATAAACAATTTTAGTTCTTCCTTTGTCATCTGAATGGCTTTTATTTCATCTTCTTGCCTAATTTCTCTGGCCAAAACTTCCAGTACAAAGTTGAATAGAAATGGCAAAGCAGTCAGCCTTACACTGTTCCTGCTTTAGGAAGAAAGGTTTCAACCTTTCAACAGTAAGTATGATGTCAGCTGTGGTTTAGCACTATTTTTTAAAATAAATTCCTTTTATTATATTAGGAAGTTCTAAGAGAATTTTATTTCAACCTAGAATTCTATATCCAAACTCTCAGTCAGAGGTGAGAGCAGAATAAAAGATATTTTCGAACTTGTAAAGTCTCCAAACATTTTGTCCCAGGCATCTTTTCAGAGGTGGTGGCTTGAAAATGTACGATAGCAAACAAAAGAGCAAAGTGATCAAAGCAAAGATGAAGGATCCAAGAACAAAGAGATCTGTCCAATCCAGGAGGCCCCAAGACAGCATCAAATCTAGAAAGCAACCAGTCTAAATTATGATACTAGTAAGGCAGAAGGATTCCAAGAAGGAGGACTGTGGTAAGGGTTGGGTGAGGGTGAGTATGCAAACGTCAGTCCAGAAATGAAGAAACTAGATGAATTCAAACTAGAAGTCAAGAGCTTTAGGGAATAATAAATTCCAAGGAAGAAAATAAGTTATTTTAAGAAAGGAACTATTTAAGGGGCAAAGCACCATAAGAAAAGAGTTTGAACTGGAAATATGAAACACACTGTTGAATGTTTTTAAGTGATTGGTGGCATAAGAAAGGCATCTTCAGGAGAATGCCCTCTTCAGGCTGATGTCCCAGCAGCTGGCTGTGCCCACTCTCCCTGTCACTCTCCCCAGGACCTGAGGCTGTGTGGTGGGTCTGTACCAGCAGCAGAACCATCAGAGGATGGACAAGGGGGCTGCACCTTGGTCCACCTCAATGAGTCATCACAGCCTGTGGGACCTTCCGGCCGTGGCTGGGCTGGGGAGTCCAGGAGCTCAGGGAGCAGCAGGCTAGAGGTCCCTGAACCTGGATCAGTCACATGATCCTCTTCTCAGATTGCCCCCACTTAATCCTTGCAGAAACTCTAATATTATAGATGAGTCAAGAAATAAAAGATCTGTCCAATCCAGGAGGCCCCAAGTCTAGGACAAGGTCAAAGAATAGAAGTGGTAGGCCTGTGCAGAGTGGATTTGGGAATAAGGAGGAGGTCTCTTCTGACTGAAGTGCTTAGGGGAAGTTTCACAAAGAAAATGGTATCTAAGCCACACTGAATAGATTGAGAGTGAGGACATTTGAATGGAAGAAGGGAATTGTTCCTATACATGCCTCAGTTTGCCCATTTTGTGTCCTCTGTTCTAGTGTCCTCGCCAATTATTTCTCTATACCCTCCTGGCCATTACCCATCATGGGGGAGATGTAACCATCCACCTTGCTCTGGGTGGCTTCACCAACTGGTCCTTTTACAGCGTTGTGGCAGCTCCAAACTAGTGTCTCAGTGATGGCCAGTTCATCGACCAGGAGGGGCCCTATGATCCACTACCCAACAGTCATGCAGAAAAACTTCAATCTGGACAAGATCCGGCACTGGACTGGCTGTGGGCCCACCTCTCTAAGCCTACAGAGAAGCTTCTGTGATCATCCTATGATCATTACAAATGCTGATGACTCAAAGGAAATGGGCAAATGAATTTCTCTTAGCTTCAGAAAACACATACAGAGGCTACAGGAACAGAAACAAGTTGACTTCAGTGAACATAAAAATGGTTACAAAGTCAGTGTCCTCTAAACCACTTGGGTGGAGCTCATAAATTTGTTGGGATTGGAGGTCAATAACTGGAGTTTTCTAAATTAACTATGCTCTTCTGGTTGGCTTAAGCAGGGCCCACTGAGAGACTTTTTCTTATCTGATATAAGAGCAGGGTCTAGATACTAAACATGTTTAGCCTTTATTTGGGGGTTGGGGGGGAATAGTGGCTGTGTGGAAAACTGGACTTTGGGTTGGTCCCTGGATCATTTGGGACACTTTACAATCAGCTGCCTTCTGAGGCTATCCTGCTTCAAAAGCCCCCAATCAGAGTGATTATGGCCTATCCAAATGTTTCCTGAACATTCATAACCATCCCATAAGTTCAAGAACACTGGGCCATTACTTATTATTTTTGTAATTAGAGATTTATAATGTTTTGCTTGACATGTAATTTTAACTTTACATAAAGAGATTGATCAGGAAAATTGCCTTTAGGCTATAATAGCCTACCTTTTAAGGATGAGAAATTAGAAGGAAGGAAGCTAATATTGTAAAACACCTATCTATATCTATATAAATATATACACGTAGATAGATATACATATATAATATATGCAAGGTTATTGTGAGGATCACAAGGTATCACAGACATAGGTAGATTATCCTCATTTTACAGAAGAGGATGCTGCAGCTCAGGAAATGGAAATGTATACAACAGTACAGGATTCAAACCTCAATGTGCCTACGTGGAAAGCCCTGTCCAACATATGAGGTCTCTGTAGGGGACAAAGATGGGGTATTTTTCAAAAGTCTTCTTAGAAAGTCAGTGATAGGATCATGTTTAGGTGTCATGAGTCCAGTAACATAAATGACTGACTGTGCTGAAACAAAATATCAGTTTCTGTCCCAACAGAGTTGCAGGATTCTACAATCATAAGCATGAATTACATGGTTTTAGTGCATTCTGGAGCATATGGGTTTCAAATTTGAACATAAGACTAAGATACAGGAAATTTATAGAGAAGTTTCTAAAACCCTATTGGTATTCCAATGTATTTTGTTCTCTGGGAACAATTACTAGCCATCTCAAATTCTGGAGTATTTTAGAAACCCTCCAAGGATTGTTGATGGTTGGTTTCTATTTGCTTTGACAAGACCTTGAAGAAAATAGAGAGGAACTGACTTTTCCTAGATTTGACCTTGGATCTGAGAAATGCTTTTGAAAACCCTGGCAACTACAGATATTTGAAAGATATTAAAGGCTTTATAGGAACTTATGGCAGAGACTAATGCGATTCTGGAAATTCCTTATCAGTGAGGGGAACGGATGTGAAATGGTTATTATTTTGATGCCCACTGAGTTTATTTTAACTCAGATATTCATTTTCCATTTTGGTTTATCCTTTGTCTAAGATCTGTATATGCATATTTCTTGTGTGAGCTTATCTCGATTTCCAAAGTTTTCTCCAGCCTTAGTCTTGCTTTGGATCTCCAGGCCTATGTTTCACTCTATGTCTTGAATGTTAGCCCCAGCCCACACTGCTGTCACCTCAAATCCATGCTCAAACCCAGCTATGAACTTTATAAAGTATTAAATAGAGTCTTTGTTCCAACATCTTGGGTTATTACTGTGTCATCATTACTGTGAGAGGCTGTGTCATCTTACCTTTACCATTGGATAAGGTGACTTGGGAACTGGAAGGTGAATGGGATTGATTCTATCATGTCAAATCTATAAGTCCTGTGAGATAAAAAGTCTTGTTTTTAAATTAAAAAAAAAAAAGAAAGTCATCTGCAAAGTTTGTGCCATGGTTGGTCTATGCCTATAATCCCAGTAACTCAGGAGGCTAAAGCAGGAGGATCACAAATTCAAGGCCATCCTGGGCAATTTAGCAGGATCCTGTCTCCAAAGGAAAGCCATCTTTATTTGAACTTAACATAAGAAACAGACTTGGAATGCACTAAGGTCAGGAAATTGTACCTTTCAGGATCCTTTGAGTGACCAGTATTTACATGCCTATGGTCATCTTAAAGATCTTTGTGGTTTCCAGTGTTCACAAAGCTCTATAAAAATCAACAGAAGGTTTAATTTGATTGTAGAACAGAATGAAAATGTGACCAATCAGATGGGAAGGCAAAGCACATGTTTTGGACTCTCATTTGGACAAGAATTTGTCCCTGTCTTATTAGTAATATTACATTCTTCAAGAAAATGGACCCCGCCAACAAGACCTTCCAAATTTGTGAGGGAAATGACAGGTTTACAAGGCAATGAAGGATTGGCACGGTAAAGTCCTAAAAAGGAGATTGGAAGGAGACTTTTTCAAAGCATTAGTCAAAATAAAATTAAAAATTAAAGAGGTAGGATATTCTTTCATCCTCTGCAGATGAAACAACGGGTGATAAGAATACTTGAGATGGAGAAAAAAAAAATTTCAGGAGAATTTGCCAGATTACTCTGAAAGTTCCATCACTCTTTAGCTAGTTTCTAACTGCTGCCTGAGAACTGAGAATGATACATTGCATCCAATTCCTTTTAAGCATAAATTTGAATCCATGAATAAAGTTTTTCATTTTTACAGACACCACACCCTTTTCCGGTTCTCTAGTTCTTTTCAATTTTGTTCCATACAATTGTGCCATTATGTTCCATGGAAACCATTCCATGCATTCTTGGAATCAGTTTCTGGTCCTCTTGTCATCTTTAACTCCTGCTAGTATAAAAAGGCATGACATCAGTATCCAAAGGTCATTTTGTTTGGCAAACAGTATGATATAGCTCATAATGAATTATTTTCTGTGCATATAATATATACAAATCCAAAGCCTGGCCAGAATATAAATAGTTCTTGAACATATTCTGTCCTTTTTGAAAAGCAATGCTGTATTTGTATGCATAAATCCCATGATTTCTCCTAGCCATTTTGGACATGTTGTATGTGACTTCACCAGAAAAGGAAAGTAGAAAGCTAAGCAATTATCCAATGAATGTATTTAATGGAGACAGTCAGTCTGGACCACATAAGAGATAAAACATTTTCTCAGAATCTTTTCTGAGAATCTTGAATTATCAATACAGGCACCTCAATCTCTCAGTTATTTGTATATGTGCTGCAAATTACTTGGAATGGGGCTATTAGGTGGCAGTATTTTGCTTTTTTTCATAGTAAAAGAAGAAACTGATCCTGTTTAAATAAATATTGAAACCTTCTAAGGTAGATGTTGGCAAGTTTGATTTTTTTTTTCAACATGGTCAACAACGTATGGAAAGCTTTAACTTAATTCTGACGATTGGTGCTAAGCTCTTCCTGTGGACATTCTCCAAACACATCTCCAGTTAGCTGATGAAGCTGGACAGAATAGACCTTCCCAGGGATTTCAGTGACTTGTCTTAAAGGGTCTTCTACAAGCTTGTGTACTTGTAGTTAAGAATTCTGGGGATCAGAATGCAAATATGTAAGATACACAAATTAGCGCCTTGAATCAAAAGTCAATGTATAACTTTTACCAGCACTGAAATATTGATAGGCTCTCCCTTTCATTCTTCTGACCTTTTAAAATGGCCTCACAGGAAGCAGGAAGGAACCGCAGCCCTGCAGTTCTGTCCCAGGCAAAGGCAGTTCATTGGAGTTGTCCCAGCAGGTTTATTAAGATCTGAGATAGAGGAGGGAGATGCTAAGGGCTGGGCTTTGTGAGTTTTGTGTTTTCTGGAGCACAATGTGGGTGTGCTGTAAAGACTGAGATGACATCAATTATAGAAGATTATACAAAACCACACAGCATTAAGTATAAGAAGAGACCAAGCAAACATTAAGAAGAATACAGATCTGTCGCTTGTTTTTAGGATTGGTTGGCAAAATAATGAGATTGAGAAGTCTTTACAACATGCTTCTTGTTTCTTGGGGACTTCAGTTTTCCTCAACACATGTAAACATCTTCATGGCCAACCCTGCATTGTTCTTCCTATAACTAACCCAATAGTCCCCTAATCAATTAATTTGCAGTGTCTCTCATTTCCACTGTAACTCTGATACTTATAAGCTCATGCATATCAATCTCCAAAGTTCTTTACCTTGAAAATATCAGCTCTATAATCCCCCATGACTGGAGAGCTTCCCATCTGACATTACCCCATCCATCCATCCACCCAACTCCATCTTCATTTGGTTATCAGCAAATTTCAGATTTCCCAGCCACCACATATTTTCAGCATTCTTTATATTGCACTCCAGTCCACCTGGACAGTCATTTATAATTTGTCATTTTAAAAATTGCCCTTTCTTGGGGCTGGATTGTGGCTCAGAGGTAGAACGCTCCTCTACCATGCATGAGGCACCAGGTTCAATCCTCAGCACCACATAAAAATGAAATAAAGATATTTTGTCCACCTATAACTAAAAAATAAATGTTTAAAAATTGCCCTTTCTGTTTTTTTCTATTTACAAAAATAAAAAGTGTTTGTGAGCACTTCATTCTTTAGTTTCACACTATCCATAATGTGGATATATGTTAAATGGCTAACCACTTCAACAGTGAGTTAATCTAGAGTCCTTTAGAAATTTGCTGGTTTTGCCAACCACTATCTTCCCTCAGTGAGTTCCATGCTGTTTTTATTCTTTTCTGCTTCCAGGATGGTAAATGTCTTTTTAGTGAGTCACAAAAACATATTGCTGGAAGCCACTTTTAATTCATGCCCACCAAACTCACCTGGATCTTCTTGATTTGGAGCAATCCTGGACTGCCTTTCTTGTTGAGTCACTATTTGAGTCTCAGCAACCACTGATTTTCTGTTCTTTACCTTCTTTCCCCCTTACCTCTGCCCTCTATTTTCTTCTTTCCGGGCAAATGTCTTAACATCACATTTCACTAAAAAGATAAGCATCATCTGAGTTGACAATCTAGCAGAATTCCTGTGGTCTTTGCTCCTGTTACACTTTAGTCTTTATACATCTGAGCTCTCCCGCCTCCCCTCTAGGCTCACCCCTTATTACTTCCTCTGCAGCCTTGCCCTGCTCTCTGCTCAGCCACAGAGGACAGAACCTGAATAATTTGCCCACACATTCATATAGCTTTCAAGTGAGACAGCAGCATTTCAGACTTGAGCAACCCTGCTGTAAACTCCTTTGTTGAACCACCGTGTATACTGCCTCTCTTGCTACTGCCTTCTCTCTCGTTCCCTCATCTCCCAATTTTCTGAAAGAATAATCTTTGAGGACTGGAGTTGTGGCTTAGTGGTAGAGTACTTGCCTCACATGTGTGAGGTACTGGGTTCAATTCTCAGAACCACATATAAATAAGTGGATAAAGTAAAGGTCCATCAGCAACTAAAAAAAAAATTAAAAAAATAAAGAATAATCTTCAACTTTTGGTTAAATCTTTACTATTCTCTATAAGCCTCTGCACTGTCACTTATAACCCGACTAGTGTCCTGAAGCTGTTCTAAGATGCCCTCCTCTAAAGACTTTTCTGGTTTGCATTATCCTCAACTTTTCTAGAAGATGTGGCCAAGGATATGAGAAGAGAATCTACATTTACTAAGTGACTGCTAGGTACAAGAATCTTTGTGTGTTACATAATCTAATTTAATTCTTACAACAGCTCCATGGTTTAAGATATATTTCTTTTTCATAGCTGTGAAAAAACATATTTACAAAACAAATTTGCTAAAGGATTTATATAAATCAGAATTTATTTGAAAACTAAAGGAACCTCTTAGGACTCAATGAAACACAAAAACTAATTTTTTAAATGAGCAAAAGATATGAACAGATACTTCACCAGAGTGGTAAACAAATAATAAAACATCATTAATTATTAGGACACTGTAAAGGTACCACCTACACACACGCTTAAATGGCCAAAACGAAGAAACAATACTAGGTGTTGATAAATATGTGATAAATAAGCTGGTGGCGGTATAAAATGGTACAACAAACTTTACAAGAGTTTGATGGTTTCTGACAAAGTTAAACATGAATTACTGTAAAACCCATGAGTCTCACTGTTAAGTATCTATCCAAGGAAAACATATGTTTTAGTTAGTTTTGCTGCTGCTATGACCAAAAGACCTGACAAGAACAATTAGAGGAGAAAAAGTTTATTTTGAGGCTCACAGTTTCAGAGGTCTTAGTGCATAGACAACTGGCTCCGTTCCCCCAGGCTTGATGTGAGGTAGAACATCATGGTGGAAGAGTGGTGGTAGAGAAAGTAATTCAGGATAAGACAATGAGAAGCAGAAAGAGAGAGAGAGAGCTCTATTCAATTTGCACAAAATGTATAGCCCAAAGGCATGCCCCCAGGAACCCACATCCTCCAACAGCACTCTAACTGCCTACAGTTACCATCCAGTTAATTCCAATCAGGGGATTAATTCACTGATTGTGCTAAGGCTTTCCTAACCCAATCATTTCCTCTGAACTTTCTTGCATTGTCTCAAACATAAGCTTTTGGAGAACAGCTTATATGTAAACCATACCAACCAATGTAGATGTATGCTTATACAAAGAATTATACTTAGATATCCATACCAGTTTTATTTATACTTCAAATGTCCATTAACTGGTGAATAGATAAATAAATGTGTTAAGTTCAGAAAATGGATTAATATTCAACAGAAAAATAAATTTACTATGATACCAGCAACATCATGCATGAAATGCACTGTGCTAAGTTAAAACAGCCAGGCACAAAAGAATACATAATTCCTCCATGTGAAGTTTTATGTTGATAAGAAGCAGTTTAGTAGTTGCTAGTGCCCAGTGTTAGGAGGAAGAGGTCAGGTGTAAAAGGGATCAGGGAATACTAGGTGGTAATGAAAATGTTCTATGTCATGATTGTAGTGGGGTTTGCACAGCTACAAACGTTTGTTAAAATCATCCATAGTTCACATTAAATGGGTAAATTTCATTATATATAAACTATACTTCAGGAAAACAAATGAAAGTAGGAAAAGGTATGTGAGAACATTTGGAAATAATTAACAAAAGAGTTACCTTGACTTCAACTACGTTCCCTCTTCACCCCCTCATTACCTTTTCTTCCTTCCGGTTCTTTCCCATCTCTTCAGTTTTTATTTCCACAGCAAGTGATTAGCTCTGCAAATTATCTGGCAATTTCCAATCATAAAAAGTAATTGCTACAGGAATGGGAGAGGGAGACAGTCTGTGTGGAGTCGTGTGTTTCCAAGCTTCTCCTGATGAGATAGGCAAAGTTCTGTCGGAGTCAATTGCGGACGCAGCTAGGCCATCTCCGTGATGGCTGCCAGGACGGCATAGCCAACCAGATGCTCCGTCACAGCCACTCCACTTTTTTTGTTTGTTTAATTGTAGATGAACACAATACGTTTATTTTATTTACTTATTTTTATGTGGTGCTGAGGATAGAACCCAGTGCCTCACGTGTGCCAGGTAAGCCCTCTACCACTGAGCCACAACACCAGCCCCTCCATTGGTCTTTTAGGGTGACATACTTGCTCTCTTGCTCATGGTTTTCTTTTTCCATTTCCATTTCATCATTCCCTATATCTCTTCTTCATAAGCCACCTAAATTCCTTTTGGGAAAGAAAAGGAATATAAATAAGGGAAGTAAAATTATAATAATGATGATGATGCTCTAGTAATGGGGTTATTCCTATATATGGAAAGGGCTATGATGGCTTATACTCTGCTTATAGTTCTTTTCCCAAAACACAAAGGTAATTAGTATTTCCCAGTACCCATGTGTAATGGTCTGGAATTATAGGGAAAAAAATGAAATATGTTCTCATTTGTTTTTTTACCTATAGAAAAAGGCTAACTGCTGCACTTGCCAAGGCAGCCTTATTTGAACCTCTAACTTGAGGAGGTTTTCACACCCCCTCAGGAGTGATAATGTTCTGATAGAGGGGATGCTTTCCAAGTTGCCCCTCTAGATCATCTCTCTCCCTCTGTTTTCTTTGAACTGCATCAATGGGCATCTTTTTCTCTGTCATCTGTTTCAATCTGACAGATGGAAGTTACCAATAGGAGAGTGTGAGGGTAATGAAGTTGGGTATTTATTCCCATGGCTCTCATTATACCAACCCACACATTAACTGAATTTTTCCCTCAAAAACCACATTTCAGTCAGGCACTTTCCTTTCCACCCAACACTGTAGCAATTGTCTCTAGCATCCATGGGGTACTTTCTCCTCTTTGTCCTGCCTGCCTAAGCATGGTAGAGCAAACCCCATAGGGTTTCACCATTCCTTGTTGGTTTCCCCTAACTCTGCTGCAGGGAGTTGAATGGTAGCCCCCAAGTCGATAGTTCCACATCCCAACCCTCAGAAACTATGAATATGACCTTATTTGTTGAAAGGAAGTTTGATATCTAATCAAATTAAGGACCTTGAAATGAGGAGATAATAATGACTATCTGGGTGGCCCCTAAATCCAACGACAAATGTCCTTATAGAAGAAAGAGAGATTTGACACTAATAGAAGCGAAATCAACTGGGAGAAATGGTGCAAAGTCGGACTAGAGGGATGTGGTCATGAGTCTAGGAAGCCCAAGAATGCCAAGAGCCACCAGAAGCTGGAGGAGATCAGGAAAGAATTCCCCCCAATGCCTCCAGAGGGGTCATAGCCCTGCTGATGCTTTTTGTTTCCAACTTCTGGTCTCCAAAACAGTGAGAGAATAAAATTCTCTTATTTTAATCAATAAAGGTTATGCTAATTTGTTATAGCAGCTCTAGAAAACAAGTATACCTACCCTTACCTATACAGTTTGTGGGTTCCATCAATTTCCTGCCAAGATTTGCTGCATACATTTAGCAATGAGCAAGTGTCTTATTAGTATAACTCTGAACTCAAGGAGTGTTCTGGTCATATGAAGTGCAAAATTGGGGTGGGACTGAAATTGGTGCAACCACTATGGAAAGCAGTATGGAGATTCCTCAGAAAACTTAGAATGGAGTCACCATTTGACTCAGCTATCCCACTCCTTGTTATACATCCAAAGGAGTTAAAATCAACATACTACGGTGATGCAGCCACATCAGTGTTTATAGCATCTTAATTCACAATAGCTAAGCTATGGAAACAATCTAAATGCCCTTCAACAGATGAATAAAATGTGGGATACACACACACACACACACACACACACAAAATAAATATTACTTGACCATAAATAGGAATGAAATTATGGCATTTGCCAGTAAATGGATTGATCTGGAAACTATCATGCTATGTGAAATAAGGCAGTCCCAAAAACCCAAGGGTTGAATGTTTCACTAATATGTGGATACTAACACACAATAAAGAAGGAGAGGGGGAGAATAGATATTCAGCAGATTAGACAAAGGAAAATGAAGGGAAGAGAGGGTGGTAGAAGAAGGAAAGACAGTAAAATCAATCCAAAATAATTTTCTTGTGTACTTACATGAATACACCGTAGTGAATCCCACCATCATGTACATCCATAAGAATAGGGTCCTAATTAGAATAAGATATTCCTGGGCTGAAACTATAGCTCAGTGGAAGAGTGCTTGCTTAGCATGTGTGAGGCACTGTGTTCAATCCTTAGCACCACATAAAATAAACAAATAAAATAAAGACATTCTGTTAAAAAAAAGCAAGTGATGAAAAAAGGAAAAAACAATAAAAATATATTCCATGATTGTATATCAAAATGAATTCTACTGTCATGTATAACTAAAAAGAAAGAAAAAGAAATAAAAAATTGGCATTTATGGTACTTATTAAATAATCTTTAAATTTGTTTTCGCTAATAACTTTCTACATAGCATGAAGTAGGTCTAGATGCATAAAGTAAGCTACAAAGTCCCCTAATGACTGTTTTGTGGAGTTATTTCTCTTTTAAGATAGTCCCAAATTAAAGATTACAATTTTAAAAATGTTCTGTAAAAATTCCTGTACAGTGGGAATTGATACCTAAAAAAAGAACAAAAAACAATTAAAAAAGAAACTTTCAGCTAGTTTCATGAATGGTAAGTTTCATGTCTAATGTCCCAAACTATGATTAAACCAAGAATAGAGTAGGTAGCCTGCTAAAACCATCCTGTTGGCGAAGGCAGGCCAACAGACGGCAGCATGAACGTTGTTGGCAGACAAGTCGAGTCATGACACAGTCCAGGGAAGATAGTCAGAAAAGGGTCTTAGGACAGCTCTGTGGGGAAGAACCTGTATTTAAGGTGCAAAGGGTGGAAGAAGGAACAGAAAGCAGTCAGCAAGCCAGGAGGAGAACCAGGAGAGTGAGG